TTAGCTCACTCATTTCCAGAGTAAATTGTCAATGTTTTGAACGGGATTCATATAGTGCTTGAGGCACTCTCTAGTAATCATTTCAAATACCAGCATCCCTTGGAAAGCAAAGCTTACACATATCCACTGAAGCCTTCTCCCGTTGCACAATGCTCCCCACACTGTCAGCACAGACCAGACCCGGTAAATTTGAAATAAAAGGAGCAAAAAGGGCAGCAGGGACTCTGCTTTGAAATTCAGGGCTGTTTCTGAGGAAAACAGAGAGGCTGAAACAATATCTATCCTGGTCTCTTTTCCCCTTCCCAGATGTACAGTAAGAAACAATTTTAAGTGAACTGTGGAAGAATGGGTGTGTTTAACCTTCCAGCGTGGGATAGGAAATCCTTTCAAAAGGAAAGTAAGGTTTAACACTACTTTTACCTTCCTAAACAGACCGGCGTAAGACCTAAACAAACAAAAATGTTGAAATGGTCCCTGACAGGCTGAAACAATGCAGCCTCTTGTTTTAGAGGCTGTTGTTTTCTGAGTTGTGTTATTTCATAGCGACTCAAGCGGCCACTGGATAGTTAAACTCTCCCCTGACTTGCACCAAAGGAATGTCTCTAGGAGGAGATTTGAAACGGTTCAGAGCTTGGCAATGAAGAGGCAAATCTGGGTCTCTGACTGCATGTCCTCCTAAGAGATAAACTGCAGCTCAAACCACAGTTATGGGCTTGATGCAGAGATTATTGGAGGCAGACATCTGGCTTGTGTTTTTTTTTTCAGGCTAGAGGATGATAATAGTCCCCTCTGGCCTACAAAACGTGTGATGCTGTGAATTTTTAATGTATCCTTGAAAAGATAAACTTAGACACGATGCTAGGCATTCTTCATGTCGCCTTCTCCCCAAACAGATGTCTGCGCCCTGTCTCCTGTGCATCGTAAGCAATGCTGGTGCTCACCGGACTTGGGGTTGCAGAGCACGGGGGGACTGCTGCTGAGCGTTGGGCTACTGCTGAAGTACCCACTGCTGCCACAGCTACTCATGCTGCTCCTCCGTACTGCCGACACGATCTTTATCTCCTTGGTGGGACTCACTACAAACAGAGAGAAAGGGAACCCGTATCAATTATTAAACCCACTTCCTTGGTTTCTTTAAAACAATAGCAATAAGCCACACTTTCGCTGACAACACTGGGAAGGGGTTAGAGTGTTTTACATAGTTAGAAGAGTCACTGCATGAGCATGATATACTCATGTATACTGTAGCTAACACGATGGCTCGACTGCTCCCATTGCAGTGTCTTCGAGGAAGCATTTCAACATAGGGAAATAATTTTTCCATTTTTCCTTCCACTTCCCATTTACTCTTTCAGTTCTTGCTAGATATTGCTGTACAGCACTTTTACTCTTCTCTAAAACTCCACATAGAATATATAACTAATTACTTCAGGCTTGGAGGGATTTTAACTAGTCCTGTTGGTCTATGGACACCGATTTTTGATCAGCATCTGACATGCTATTGATACAGGCGCAAAACCACCCCACGGAGCTAAGGAATTGGTAAATCAAGTGAATGGACAATCCCTATAAACAGGGATGCACAATACCCTGCCCTGCTTTTTTCAGAAAAACACTGAAACCCCTTGGCCAAAAAAGCACTGTTTAAAATCCCACGGAGTCGCCCTACAGACAGCAGTATAGTTGATGAGTCACCTGAGAGAAAACTGGTGTGTTTTCTGTTGTCATGGTTCTGCTTGCGCAGGCAAAAGGGGCTGTCATGGCTTTCTGGCATCAAGCGAGATTTCTCAGTGAGGAGCTCCATTAATCGCCGCCGGCGGCGGAAATTCATTCTGCACTGGTAGAGCAAGTTGCTGTCCATAAAATGGTGCTTGTTGGACACTGGAAAAAGAAATGGATAGAAAGCCTATGCCTGGCAGGACTGAAATCAGACACACCTATCTGCAATGTGGGCGCTGCACACCTTGGTGTAAGGAAGCAACACCCGTAGCTCTCCCCTCTGCAGACTCAGAAAGAGGAGGAAGGTGGCCAGCTTCACCCGGGTACCTTCAATATACACGCTTTTATAGCATCAATATCAAAGTAGGAACTTCAGTGGTCATTGCTGAGAGTAATCTTTTACAGTATCTTGATTAATGACAAGCACTTCTTATTGTCAAGTGGAAATGGAAGTACTTTATCTTTCCGTGACAGGTTGCATAATGGTCCATCTCCACACACGCTCCCTTTGTACGCTGTTTGGTGCTGCCGGTCACTACAGACCAGACTTAGCTCCTTACATCGAGTTTTTGGTAAATACATCAGCCTAGGGCAGTGCCTGGGAGCTCTGACTGACTACCTCGTTTGGAGCTACAGGGCAGCAGAGAATCGGGACCTGTGTATTTCCTCTGTCTTGTTCACCACAGACACCGTGTCCCAGACACTTCCTGCAGGCCCCTTCCTCCCCTCCGCACGGATACGCAAGGTTTGGGAACAGGCACCCGGCCAAAAACAATTTCTTACATAATGAACAGAAGTCTTAATTACAACCTGTTTTGACACCGAGAGCAAATCCCAGGTTGCTGGTGTCAGAGCAAGAGCGCAGAGCCTACTCACAGACTGCAGCATCGCCATAACGTCTGCGTGTTCGCTGCCACTGATGCTGCATCTTAATAGCGATGAAAAATGCAGCAGCTGGATGGAGCTCTGTGCCAGGTCCCAAAAGTGCTCTGACTCCTTCAGGGCTTGATTGCAGAAAAGCCTTCTGGAGTACTCCCTGCATTAGTACTGCAGCATCTTAAATAGCCGCAGTGGATGTTTTGGCTGCATTTTCTCCATCTTCACCTAGCTCCTGTGATCACGTTCCACAGAAATGATTTCCCACAGTTGACCTTTTCCACAAAGGATCTAGATTCTGGATTTACCTAGTTTATAAACTGCATTTCTTCCAATATTGAATCATAAGAACTGGTGGGTTATACATATTTATACGTAAAGCGTAAACAACAACATAGATATGCACTCAGACATCAGCCAAGTCTTGCGCTTCATTTGGCCTCAACCTCCTACCGCAGACACCGAACTTTTGCCTTGCTCTTGGCTCTGCCCGGCACGTGGGGTCCAAAAGCAGCAGAGCCCAAGGTGGTACACCAGGTCCAGAGCCTGGAGCCCTGCTGGCCCCCTCTCCCTTCGTCCTCATCCCCAACCCACTCTTTCTTGCTCTCATCCCTTCTTAACACCTCCCTGTGTCTCAGATTGCTCTCCATGAGCCCCACAGAAGTACACCACCTATATGATAGCCTTGTAAAAAACGCTGTGTTTAGACATAAACTAAATGTCCAGTATGTCATTTGATGCTTGTGAGCTGAAGGAATAGCCTCAAAGAGGAAAAAGCCCAGTCACCTTCTCCAGCAGCTGGTCTCAGAGAGAATATTCGTGCCAGGGATGTCAAGTCATCTAGACAATAAAGAAGACGCCAGTCCCAGCCATGGCCCTCAGGGCACAGCCCTCCATACGGATACAGAAACTGCCATATGGGGTCAGACCATACCTCCATCTTGCAAAGAAGCATGTCTCTTGTCTGCCTGGGCCACTGTCAGAGAGGAGACACTGTCTGTACAAATGGACTTTTGCCTTTGGAACACAAGGAATAATCAGGACGCAGGAGCTTTCTGAACTGCATGTTTGTGCCCGAACTGCCACGCAGACTGTTTGCCCCAGCGTCCTGCAGCGTGGCGTAGGTTGTAGAGCATTTCTTAGAGTTTTGAAAAAAGGTAGAGTTTTCAAAGTCTACCTTTTTTCATTAATAAAGCAGAAAGGTCATGCCAGTCAGCCAAGCTGCGATGTTTCAAGTACCATCTACAGAAAAGACCCCTATTACCGAGATTGCCTGGTTCTGCCGAAGAGCTTCAGAAGAGCCAGTGCCACCATTTTGGTGCTGAACCTGTTGTTTCCTCAAATCAGCCGTATGCATCCTCCATGAGCAAAATGGCTTTGCTAAGTCAAATTTAGCATTGCAAGCAATTTGTTACTGTGTTCTGACACGTTAATTATTGCAGGCACACACTACTGCTGTGCTCTTCATTTTGGACACATATAGTATGCAATACTATTAAACAACACTTACTAACGATCACTATTTTTGAAGAACGGAAATAGAGGAGGAGAGATTTGGAGACTTGCCTACATCCACAATAGGATTTGCTGTCAGAGGCAGAGTTAATACGTAGGTGTTCACAGCTACCAGTCACATTTTCAGACCACTGACACAATAAGTAAAAGTAGCAATATCTAGCAATATCCTACCACATTATTAGAATAACCTGACACAAACACAAAAACCTTCCTTTTCTTTTTTTTATGACATCTTAAAGAGTTCCCTGAAACTTAAAAAGACAAGCTCTACTTATTCAGCACACTACTGGCATTCATTACATTAAGTGGAAGAGGGCCCCACAAATACTCACTTGGAAGTAGAATTACTGTTGTCAACCGTTTGCAATATAAGAAATACCAGTATGGTTTCTGATTCAAGTTAAATATTATGGCACTAAAGTTCTTCAGTAAAACTACTCTGTTCTGCTTGGGTCATTAACTGAAGTGCTCTGCCAGCCTTCAGAAATTATGATAATCAGAGATCAACACACACTCGTGTTGCAGACATTGTAAAGCACTCTGAAATTCTAGAATAATCATTGACCATGAAACTACATAATATAAACTTTTTTATGCCAAGATACTGAACATATTTTAGAATAACAACACTTGTTTTGACTGAAATATTATAACATTATATACTTAAAATAGCAAAGCTTAGGTCTTACATTGAAGTAATTCATCCCTGCTGTAACTGTTTTAGTCCATAGAAGGGTGAATTTTTATATAATAAATGAATACAAGTGGAAAAGGCAAGACCAATGACTGTATGTTGTAGAATATTTGTATATGATTTACACAACAAAGGATTTGTAGCCAGAATGTTTATGACAAGTAGTATTAGTACAGAATCTGGAATGTCCATCGATCTTCATAGTTTAATTCCTCATTTCTACTGATAGTTCACATTTCATGCAAGAGCACTAGAATAACAGCGTGCATCTTCCATTTGAGCAAATAACGTATTTGTAGCACCATGTAACTTTTTGCATATTCCTTGACTAAAAGGTAATATTTATGTACATTTAAGGAGAAGCTCAAAAAATAAACAGGAGTAGTTAGCTCAAACTGCCTCCTTGTACATACATCATCAAATAAAATATCTCACCAAAATTATTGGTGTGCCCCATGGGGCTTTTTTTTTTTTTTTTTTTGAATCATCAACTTTCTGATATATTCGTGATTTGGAATGAAACGTCCATGACGGGACTCTGCCTAAGGATGAGTGTATCTGGAATGGTGTGGAAAAAAGGGATTTCCACACCATAGATCAGAAGGAAGAGGTTGAGGAGGGGGACGCAGACACCGGTGCAGGCTGTCTCTGAAGCTCTCCTCAGGCGCAGTGGCTGACTTTCAGCATTAACCAGGAGGAGCTACGCATGCCCCCGTCCTTGATAAATCACAACTATGTGAATGCCGGATGCAGAGCACGCACAGAAGGTTGGTTTTGTTACGCTTGGTACATGTGGGGTGAGAGGTGCCAGCGCAGGCATGGGTGCTCAGCTCAGCTGCTTTAACAGTCTCTGTTTTGCTGCAATCAGCAGAGAAAAGTGGGAGTGAAAAACTTGCAGAATGCTGAGAGGACTGCACAGACTTGCTCAGGAGGGATTTCCTTAAAGGCAATTTAGAGGTTGTTACCTTGAGCTAACATGGAGTGTTGACTCAGAGGCAGCAGCAGATGATAAACTCGTGGTGCTCTCCAGGCATCTGTCCCTCTCGTGGAAGTTGCTGCCTCTGGATAGGGACTGACTTAACTACTCCTGAATTAGTTCACTGCCCTTCATAATGCAGCACAGAAAAGCAAACTGGCACCCCTTTCAGTTTGTCTTAAATTGTCAGGCCATGGCTGATGAGGATCAGGACCTGTATTTGTACATGATGAGGGTGATGTAAAGAGCAAGGTGGGGTGACTTCATAGGTTTTTCATTCCAATTTAATTCCTCCAGTGCTCATGTGGCAACATGTTCATGTTACGATGTGCACCTTATGAAACAGAAGGAAACTGTACCAAAGGGAGTAAAGAAAATATATGGTGACTGGCAACCTCCAAAATCATAAAAGTGCAAAAGAGCATTTGTGGTCCTGGAGGGAAAGGCACCAACGGTAATTCACAGTCATCGATGTCAAATTTTGGAGGTACAGTTACAACCCACCAGTCTAATCTCCCACATACACAGGCCACAAAATTTCTCCAGAAACAGGATTAAAAAACTACCTTTTAAACTTACAATAGTTTACTATACTTTAATCATACTTTAAAGCAGCCTGTAACGACCACTTTATTCTTCCCCTTACGAGCTGTTCAAGCCTTCAGTTACCTCCCCTGCCAGGCAATAAAGATTTAACTCAAGGCTGAATTTGTTTCAGCCCGGGACTTTGTCACACCTTCATCAGAAAGTTACGTAAGATGTGGTCAGAAATCTTTGTGAAGAAGTCTGTGAAGTGATGAAGCCAACTCCCAAACATATCTTTGATCAGCTGAATAAATAACACCCCTTAAATTCTGGATTATTTTTTAGCCCTCCTCGAGTCCTCTTCAGGCTTTCTTTATCCTTCCTAAAATCCAGCTATCAGATCTGCATGCTCGCAGTTACAACTTCACGCCCCTTCTGTTACTTGCTGTCCTCCTTTTTGTACATCTCAGGCTCACAGTAACAGTTAATACAACTGTACTGCATGAAAACACACTGGGAACAACTTGTGCCCTGTACATCCTCCTTTCCCTGCACGGCGTTGCTTCACACCAA